GATATTTTCCGCGAGTCTCATATATCTTTGGGGATTTTCCTTTCGAATATGTTTTATTGTAGGAAGATGGAATATTTCTCATGCCTGACGGGTTCAGAGCTGAATTACAAGCTTACATATCACATGCTCGAAGGTATTTTTCTGATGATGCTCCTCAGCAATTACTGGATGAGGTACATATTTACATATTTTTTTCTTTCGTTTGTGAAGTATTTTTTCAAATTCTTTTGTTTACAATTTTTATACGTATATCAAGAGATTTCCTCCAGTTACGTCCCCTGATGTGCGTCTGGGATGAGTCAATCGTTAGGGCATGGAGGCTTCTTGAATTGTTTATGCCTATGAATCTTCCTCCTGAAAAACAGCTGACTCATGGTATGCTTTGATTGACTCATATTTATATTTATGAATTTGTTGATGTAACCATAAAGTTCTTCTGTAGGAAGTTCGCTGTGGCTTGATGAAGCATGGCATTGGTTCAAGACCGTAGAAAATAATAACCTGGTTGAGGGTTCGATACTCAAGATGTTTGTCCGGTGGGTATCCTAACAGCCAAAGCCTTTCATGGATTTGGTTAAGTTTTTTTAAATTTGATATTTTAGGCTTTCTGTTGAATGTCCTGGTTCAGTTAACTGGCGCGATAAGCTGGACGTCATCTTCACTAGGGTGAGCATTTCATTCTCTATATTCTTAATTTTCTACCAAGATAAGATACAATTCCTCCAGCTAGGTTATACTTACTCTTCTTTCAGCTTATTCGCTCTTTCCGCCTTGGTAATGTGGTAGGTCTCTGCCAACATTTCAACTTGGAAGGTGCTTCTGGTTTCATAACCTACGTAATGGGTACAGAATGTCATGATGAGTAAGTCTTATATCTCTTTTTATGCTATTAAAGGTTCATCGTGGGTGGTGATTTTAGGCTTATGGAAAAATTGAAGTCAGTATTTTTGCTTGTTGAATCCTACTTGCATCCATCAAACCATGGCATGCACACACAGAACTTGCTGATGTTCATGAATAAGTAAGTCCACTTACTAATTTTTAGAGAAGTTTACTTCATTAGGTTGGTCCTTAAGCGCTATTTATGTAAGTGAGCGCTCAAATATTCTAGGCTTTCATTATGTTTGCTTTCTCGTGTGAAGCGAGAGCGAATGGAGAAGACATCCAACAAACAGCGTACTTTCATCAAGGTAA